TCTATATAATTGATGAGTGTGGAAAAACTTAACCTTTTGGACATACTGCCATTATTTTTATTTGTATGTTTTTATAGATATGCAGATGAACATGGCATGTTAGGAAACACTTTTCTGAATCCTCATGCACTTTATATAATGTCATATAAAGTTGACATTGCTAGCTGCTGTTATTTTATTTTCTTCTTATGTGTTGTAAAAAATTGCTTAGGGCTCAGCACAGTAGCTTTGTGGCTAAATTCCTCTCCTTGCATGTGCTGGAATCCCATGTGGGTGACAGTTCTAGTCCTGGCTGCTACAGTTCCCTTCCATTTTCCCATTTGTGGCCTGGGAAAGCAGTCGAGGGCAGCCCAAAGCCTTGGGACCCTGCACCCACATGGGAGTCCCGGAAGAAGCTCCTGGCTTTGGATCGGCGCAGCACCGGCTGTTGAGGTCACTTGGGGAGTGAACTAGTGGATGGAAGAACTTCCTTTCTGTTTCTCCTCCTCTCCATATATCTCAATTTCCAATAAAAATTAATCTTAAAAAATGCTTAAAATGCATGATCATTGGCATAGAAGAGGAATTTGTTGTTTGTTTTTATGTTCATATAATTAGAAAAAAAGCACTATGCTTAAAGTATGTACAAAGGAGAGATTTTTTCCTTTCATATCTCAAAAATGTCCAGTTTTTAAATTGTGGGAGGCTCTCACATTATTGGAAGGAACAGATTTTCTTGGGATAGTCAGTATTGCCTTTTTTTTAGCCTCTGTTTACTTTCTCACCTCTGTTGATTTATTCAGTTTGTAACCTAGAAACCAACTAAAAAGGAAGGAAGTCAGAGATGTGTATATCTGGGCAGTAACTGGAGTAGTTTCCTCTTCCCTAACCTGATTTAGCTGCCAGAAAAGGCCTTTTATCCCAGCCCCACCTCCACCACCCAATAAAATTAAAATTAACATTAACTTTGTACCTTCCTTCCTTCAGCCAGTTTAAGGGGGAAAAAAAAGGCAGAAGTCGTAAAGGTCTAAACTTCTGTTCTCTTCAGATTAGTGTTTTTTGCTGGCTAAAAGCTAAATTCTGTAACCCTATGTGAATTGTAAGAAAAGCAGTGAATTAATGAGACTCGATGTAAAACCAAGTAAGAAACACTTGATATTCAAGGTCTGCATACTGTTACTTTCCTCTTTTTGTTTGTGCTAGAAATTTAACAGAGAACCAAACTAAACTCACTTTTTATTTTGCGAAAAGATTGATCAAGCCCATTTTCCTTCTTTAATTTTAGTTTTTAGAAATGTACTTGAAAGAGAGGTCGCATCTGCTTAGTCCAGTCTCCAAATACCCACAGTATTTGGCTGGTGACAGCCAGAAGTGAAGAACTAAATGAAGATTTTCAGTATGAGTGGCAGGGAACCAGCCCCCTTGAAGAGCTGCCTTGTTGGGTCTACATTAGGAGGAAGTTGTAATCAGAAGCTATGCACAAACTCCAATGTGAACCTCGACAAACATTAGCTCTGTTCAGGCTCATTTTAGAAGAATGATTTGCTGCCTTCAACTTTGTTGTACCTTCGTATATCCTACATCTGCATCATTAATTGGTTGTAGGAGTGGAATTTGGTTCATTGGTTAAGACACTTGCATCTTATGTCAGAGTGCCTAAATTTGATTCCCAGCTGTGCCTTCCTATTCCCTAATGGATTGTGGATATCAGTTTCCCATTAATGCAGATACTGGGAGGCAACAAGTGATGGCTCAACTGATTGGGCTTATGCTGCCAATTTGGAAGATTTGAATTCTGTTCCTGGCTCGTTCCAGTTCAGCCACAGCTGGTGTAGTTTTTTGATGAATCTGTGGCCTGGAGTTCTCTTTGTCTATATTTCTTTCTGCCTTTCAAATACAGTTTTAAAAAATTTATATCTTGGCGCCAGCATTATGTTATAGTGGATAAAACTACCACATATAAACTAGCGTCTCTTGTGGTCTCTGGTTCCTGCCTAGCTCCATGCTGACGGTTTGGAAAAAGCAGCCAAGGAAGGCCCAAATGTTTAGGGCCCTGACACCCACATGGGGAGATTTAAATGAAGCTCCTGTCATTGGCCCAGGTCATTGCAACCATCTGGAGAATTAACCAACTTATGAAAAATCTATCTTTTTCTGTCTCTCTTCTTCTCTTTGTAACTCTCTAAAATAAATAATCTCTTAAAAAATTCAAGTCTACTGTATCACGTTTTAATAATGGAAAATGTTTTATTTTTCTTTAAATGTAATGTAAAATTAATTTTTCTAAGATTTATTTTTAAAATTTTTTTATTACAAAGTCAGTTATACAGAGAGGAGGAGATACAGAGTGGAAGGTCTTTTGTCCAATGATTCACTCCGCAAGTGATCACAACAGCTGGAGCTGAGCCTGTCCGAAGCCAGGATCTTGGGGCTTCATCTGGGTCTCCCATGCGGGTGCAGGGTCATAAGGCTTTGGGCTGTCCTCAACTGCTTTCCCACACCACAAGCAGGGAGCTGGATGGGAAGTGGAGCTGCTGGGATTAAAACTTGTGCCCATATGGGATCCTGGCGCGTTTAAGGCTAGTATGTTAGCCACTAGGCCACCACACTGAGCCCTGAAATGCTTTTTTTTTCTTTTTTAAATTAAGTTTTAAATCACTTCTCAGTCTTTTACTAAGATCAAGTGTAAAATTAATTTTTTAGTTAGCAGAAAGAGTCCCCATCTCTGATTCAGCTACAGTAGTAGGGAAGAATGAGGCAAAAAGATAGGAATTCTGTACATTCAGTTCTCCTGTATGGAGTGTATATGAGTAGAATGTTTATTTTACTGGGGACCAATTTTATGGCATAATGAGTTAAGCCTCTAGATGCAATGCCAGTTTGAGTTGCTACTGCTCCACTTCCAGTCCAGCTTTCTGCTCATGTTCCTGGTAAAGCAGTGGAGAATGGGCCCAAATCCTGTGCTCCTGCACCCATTTGGGTAACCTGGAGGAAGCTCCTACTTTCAGAATGGTTCATCTCTGGCTGTTGAAAACATTTGGGGAGTGAACCAACAAATGGAAGATCTCTTTGTGCTTCTCCTTCTCTCTGTGTAAATCTGCCTTTCAAATAAAAATATACATTTTTTAAATGTATTTTCTACTTTACTAGGAATATATGTATCAATTGAAATCCTTAAGTAACCAAACTAAATTATACTGTTTGATTCTGTAGTACTTGATGGGCAAAGCAAGGTAATTTTTTGTTAATTCTTTTTCCTCTAATTTGAAACACATACACACACACACACACACTCTTTGGTCATTCTTATTGAATCTCCAAGGGTCTGCAATAGTTGAGGCTGGACCAGGCTAAAGCCAGAAGCCCAGAACTCCAATCTGGGTCCTCTCACATAGGCCTCATCAGCTGGCTTCCTAGAATACATTAGCAGGAAGCTAGATCCAAAGCAGAAGTTCCAGGACTTGTATTGGCACTTAGACAGGATATGGCGCTTGAACTGGGTGCTTTGATACAGGATGTGGCCCGCTGGTGTCCCAAGGTCAGCCTAGCCAGCTGCTACCATACAGTGTTGGCTCTGAAAGAACTAAAACTTTGTATTATCATAGTCAGACCAGAGTCTAAATAAGATGATAAGATACTGTGACATAGTAATATTTTATGATATATGGTGAAACACAGAAATATATAAAATTTAATTTAAATCTGATAGCTTAATCTCAAGCTTTGTTGATTGTGTGATAGTTCTTTGTGTGTCAGAATTAGGCTGCCATATTTATCTGGTTGTTTTGCTGGCAATTCATGATATTGAATTAATTTAATCACATGTATATTTTGTTTTTTAAGTGATTATGAATGAATTAAGATAGCTGTGGCTTAATATTGCATTGAATATATTATTAGACTTTGTGCCAAAGATACATTTTAGTATCACATATTGCTTGTAAAATACAATGTTAATATTTTCCTATCACTGATGTTTTATAAAATAAAAGCTATTTATTTGGATTTTTAGAATAGAATCCTTAAAGGAAGGTATTTTCAAAAGCAAAACACTAGATTATCATAAGTACAACTTAGTCATGTACTAAATTGAAAGTACCTTTTTCAGTATTTAATATGATGTTTGTGAAACGAAAGAGATACAGTTGGAATAAGTACAAAGCAGTTATATATGTAATATAATTCATGTGAAATTTTTAGGCTTAAAGAAATTAAGATCTCTGCATGTGTATAAAATAAGAGGCTTTATAATTACTATTTTTAACTATATAAAGAATTTTCTCATGGTTCTGTTTTCACAGTGTCAGTGTAGAGTACTGTATAATTTTTCTAGTGTTCTTCATGTAACTGTATAACAAATTTGAGAATATATCTGTTGAATTTTAATACAGAGTCGTGGTCAACTGAATGAATGTATGGCCAGCTTTCCTTCTTTGAACCACAAACTTTAGAAAATATTAGATATCACTTGATGTTTAGAATAAAGCCACAGAATCATGGTTTCTATCTCTGCTTCTTTATTTCCTAAGTGGCCTTTTATCATAATGTAATACTATGTGCTGTAGAACATAAAAAATTACTACTACAGTAACTTTGCAGTTTTCAGTGTTTACATTAAAACTTTAAATATAATAAATTTTACTGTTTCCTCTAATCCAATATATAACATTTTTCTATAGCCAACAGAAATTATTTATGAAATATTTCATTCTTTTTCATATTATGTATTTTATGCATACATTACACATCTCAGTTGAAATTAACTATTTCAGGTGCCTGATATCTACGTATGGTTAGTTATTGACATATCTGTTAACATAACTCTTTAAGAGTTGATAAACATAATAAGGAAAAATACAAGAGGCCAGAAAATGTTTTACACATTATTCAGTCTTTTAAAGCTGTATAGATTTTTTCTTATGTAAAGAACAAAACTTGTTTCAGCAGTACTTAAAATTGGCAAAAATAAATATTGCCAGTTTTGAGCAAAATTTCTGAGGTTGTTGGCTATGCTATTTAATTGTACTCAGGCTGTTAAATAGAAATTATTCTGAAATAATCTTATTTTCTACAATATTTAAGGCAAAATTATTAAACTTAATAAACCCTTTGAACACATTCTGAAGGTGTTTTTGATGGCTGAATGTTAATGCCTTTTGCTAATTTCACAAATGTTCTTTAACTTTCTCACCGTAGTAAATCTGGAAAGCAAAAAACTTTGTGTTTGTTTTTGCTGTTTGAAGGAGACAGTAAGGAAACAGTAAACTTGAGCTTTTAGTCTAGCCACTAGCCTGTCTTTGTCTGTTGTTAAAATTATGAGCCAGTCTCTATGGCTGCAGCCAAATGAGTAATCACCAGTAATGTGACTCGTGCTGGAAGTGACTCCATCAGCACCTGTGACGGCGGATTAGTTACAGTTTACAGAGCACCGCCTCTTCCCTTCTCTCAGTGTGCCCTTAGCCAAGTACTCTTTCTCATTTGGGTGTCTGCACTGTTGGAAGCTACTGCAGTGTGTTTCCACGCGGAGTACAGTGGGAAAGGCTTTCTCTAACTGATGGATGGCTGTTCTCTTTATTTGGAGTATCTTACTGGTTATGTAAGCGACCTCGGGAGAAATTATCCTGACCCAGATCGGAGGATGCAGTGGTGCTTCAGCTGCAGGATTTCTTAGTCGTTAACACCACAGTGCTGATGACAAAGAGCGAGTTGTAATCCTCATCACTGCCCTGGCTGTGCCGGAGCAGACAGAAAATCGTCATTTGCTCGTCGGAGACTTGTTAGGTTACAGCTTCTGCTTCATTCTGTGGTCTTGGCTTTTCTTCCTATACAATGACGCCGCTGCAAGAGGGCTCAGAAATGCCTGGTTTGAAAGCTGTTTGCTTGTGATTTTGAAGACTAAAGAAGTATTATGCCAGAATAAATATACTGCTCAAGAACGAAATATAAACGCCAGCTGTACTTATTGACCTTTAAAGCCTTGTCGTGGATTTCTTAGATACTTTCAAATTCTCAAGAACAAAGTACGGTTTGTCTTTTTTCTGCTTTCTTTTTCTTTTGTCTTAATTTACATTTGGTTTTGCTTCTTAGTCTTAGGAATTAAGGTCGCTTGCTGCCTTTTATAGTCCTAACCTCAGTGTTCTTAAGTTTTACAAATTTCTGATTGTTTTTTATTTGTCTAGAAAGAGGTTTACTGTGTTTGTAGTAATTTAATAGCACTGGACAAAGATCAATTTAATAGCTAGAGTTTAATTCATTTAAGTATTATGGTAGAAGTGTTTAAAATTAGACTAATGTTTCAAGGGAAGTGGGAGTATTTGTTTTGTAATTTTTTTTTTCATGGTTTAGTCCCTCCCCACCCCCAACTTGTTTTCTAACAGTATGGTGTTTTTCAATAGACCTGCTTGGGTGGGAATTTGGACTTTGTTCTTTCAAGTCACTCCAGCCTTTCTTTCTTTTTTGAAAGACTAAACCTTGACTTATAAAATGTTGGTTAGGTGGTTTTCTGTGTGATTATTCACGTTGGTGAATTCTGTGTCATCTTACATTTTATAAGTCTGGGTTTGTTTTTCTTTTTAACTTGAAAAAGGAATTGTTCAGTGTTAACCAGAGATTGTGAGAAACTCAGACTGCAAACATCAACTCCATGAACTTCCTGTTAAATGGTGAGCTTAAACATAGTTTATTTGAGTAGCTGAGTTGTGTTTGAGAACTGTAGCTGATTTATTTTCAAAATGTTTTTCGGGGAGGCTTCATCTGTTAGCTTCTTCCTCATGTGAATGGAATGTGGTGCAGCGTGGAGCCCCAAACAGGATACAGTTGTTCTAAGCATTCTTCCTATAGTGTGGTAGGCCCTACTAGAAATGCAGGCTCGCAGCTCTGTTTTGGCTTTAGACTATTTTTAAAGTACGGTTAATACTGACAAATGGCCTTTAAAAAAAAAAAAAAACTTGGCAATCTATTAATAATGGGAAAACTATTTTTGTTCCAACTAAATATTCAGTTTTAAGTTAGTAATTTTCAAAGCCATTTTCGGTATTTGAATAAGTCTTTTGTGGATTAAGACCATACTTTTGTGTGATTTTCATCAGATGGTAGCTCATTGCTTCCCCTTAGGCTGTGGAAGTTCCTCATAGAATGAGATATATCTTTTGGAGTCCTTTATTAGTTATGCATCAGTTCCAGTTTCTTTACCTAGACCCCCTGAAATATTTACCTAAGATTTTCCATAAAAGCTGTGGGATCCAGTTGCTTTTTATTTAAACACATTTTAACCTAATATGACAGTCTGAAATATATTACACTTATGTACAAGTTAACAGTGGTTACATTGTTAATATGCATTTAAAATCAGAGTTTTAGCTGCATCAGTTCACCCTTTCTAACATTTTTTCATAAAGTAGGGGTAAATCACACAGATTCTCAGTGGCTCAGGTTAATATATGCTGAGTTTTAAACCAGTAGTATGAAAGTTTTTAGCAGGCCCATATGGCAATGTGGTTTAACTATAATTACAGTGTATCATTTACAACTTGTAGCACTTTTATTATTTGAAAAATAAGATGCCTTTTCATTTGAGGATGACTAAAAGTACTTTTGTCTAAAGTACATCCTTATTCTTTAAGAGCTCTCAAATTTGGCCATTCTAATTTGCATTCTGATAGCCAAATTTCACCAGTGGCTTTCAGTTACATACCTTAAAAACTTCAGATACTCTTTTTTTTTTTTTTTATTTTTACCTAAAGTCTGAGGCTTTTGTTCCTAATTAACTTGTAATTTAAGTTACAAGCTGTTGAATTTTACCACCACAACTCTGACCTACTTTGAAAAACAGAGCTTTGAGAGGTTCTTTTCAGCTGAATGTTTTTCATATTACAAAATGACTAGGTCTCATAGGAAATGCAAACCACCTGTATTATTTGCCTAAGAAAGAGGCACTGAAGACTTGAGAAGTTTACTTCTGTTTCACATCCTACCTAATTGGACCTTTTTGTTAACCTTCACAATTTGACCTGACTTGGTACTGTTAGAAAAGAAAAAGGGTGTTAAATAATTTTCAAAGATTAAAAATCCTCTTGAAGTGTTCTGAGTTTTTAGCAAAAACTTTAGTTTTCCATACTAAAAAACATCTGAACTAATCTCTTCATTTTACACTTGATCACGTAGCAGTAGGCATTTTTAAAATACCTACATAAATGCTCTTGGATTTCTTACAAACTTTACCATTTGTCAAAGAAAGCAACTGAATTTGATGCAGTGATAATGTAGGAATTATTTTTGGCAAATGGAAAATATTAGATGGCAACAGTAGCAGGGATAGTTAAATAATATTTGAAAATGTGATTTCTTACACAAATAAAATATTTTTGATAAACATGTGGTGCCTAAAAGGTTAAGCTAAGGCATAAGAGGAAGGATGCTGCTGTGATTAAAATTTCTAAGCATGAATTTTGAGAGTGAGTAGTTTTTTTTAAGTAATAAATAAGAAAACAAGATTTGTAAGTTCATTGTGTAGCTGGAATAGGATTAAGGCACTTTAAAATTTTTTTATTCTCAAGTGTTCTCATCTTTTAAAAAACATTGTTACAGACTGCAGGGAATCAAATTTGAAATCCTTTCACAAGTTTAAATACAGAAATTAACTCCTTGATAGCCATTCCAAAGATCTTGAAGAATTCCCATGGAGTATGCTTGTTGTGGTTAATAAGATGGTACAGTTCTTTAAAACATGTTTAAAAAAAAAAAAAGGCAGAACTCCTGAGAATTTTAGATATGTGTGTCAAAAGTTAAGTTGTAATGAAAAGGATTTCTTAGAGTAATTTAGAAACAGAGTTGGTTGTTAAATGTATTTCCTGGACTTTGAATGTTTTGAAGGTGGTAGAATTTTGTTTTTATTTTCAAGCTTCTGAAACTGTATTGTTGGTTTTTATTCAAGCTTCACTGAAACACTTGAAAATAAATTGTAATAATTATAAAGAGAAATATATACATGATGGTGTTCTTATTTTCTTCCTGTTTATACCTGCCTCTCAACTCCCACTGGAAGATATGAGGAAATCCTCTATGTGAAAGATGAGTCTCTTTTAAAATGAATGCCCAATGATACATTTAAGAGTAGCAGAAATTTAATTTTACTGCAGTGTACATTTTGTGAAATACTAATTACCAACATCTTTTTACTCTGTTTATGCTGCTTTCCTTGAAGTGGCAGGAGTTTTCAGTTGTGCTCAGGCTGTGGGCTGGGGTGGGGAGTACAAGGGGTGGAGTTAAAGACCAGATGCTTGCTGATCATTAAAAATCTTAATGTGAATGAGCTAGTAAAAACATGAATTGAAGTCATAGCTATTCTTTTTTATAAAGCATAATATTAGCCATAAAAAAGAGGAGGTTAAATAAAATTATTTCAGCAGCAGCTTCTGTATAACAGGATTTTTATTCTCCTGCTTATTTGATCATAACCTTTTTTAAACATAAACTATAACTTAATGTGTTGGAAAATGTTTATATCCCATTTTGAAAGTACATGATATTGGGTCATGGATAAGAACATTACCTGTTACATTATAATATGAAAATTAATATTAGTTGTTATCCATAGCCATTGTATTAGTATCACATTGATACTCATAGTTTGAGGATATAACAAAAAGTAACCATTAGAAATTTTTTCTCTCTGCTTTTCCTCTTGACAGACTTTCAAACCCTTGGTTGAAAAGAGTATACCCAGCTCAGTCACTGCAGTAGAATTCCTTGTAGATAAACAACTGGATTTTTTAACTAAAGATAGTGCCTTTCAGCCTTATCAGGTAAGATATTTTAAATTACATTTAAAAGTTAACTGTTCATTACACTTAATTGATGTTGGGATATTGATTCTTTTCAAATATTAAGTTTAAGTTAGCATTATTTGTGGAAGGATCCCAGTTAGTAAATTTAATTTGAACATAGACTAACTGATTTATTTATTCAAACAACAAATATATACGGAAAACTTTGAGCCAGGCAGTAATTTTTGTTGCTATAATTTTAAAAATGAACAAAACAAAGTCCCTGACATTCTTGATAATACTCATTGTTAGAAAATAACAGGTTAGATGTGAGGGGAAATTATCTTTGTCTCCACCTTAGAAGTTAAGAATTAGGTCAATTAATGTAATCAGATGAGATTAGCCTTTGCCATGTGCACTTGTTTCAGTTTAGCAGAGTAGTGGTCTTTCAGGGAATCTTGTGAGATTGTCCCTAATTGAATAATTGGGTAATTAAATATAAATGTGCTGGAAACTATTTTCTAATGGATTGTTAGATTTAAATTGTATCAACTTCACCAAATTTCTAGTGAAGCTAACTTTTAAGGTGCAAGTAAATTAAAATTTGTATATTTGAACTGCAGATTGAATATGTGAAATAATGTGATAATTATTTGAAAGGATAAGTACAATCTTTTCTAACAATTTTACTTTGTATTTTTGAACTGTGGGTTACTTATTTTATAGGTTTCTTAAATATTTTAAAATATATTACACTTGAAGGGAAGGATGAGTGAATTAGCTAAATTTTTTTTCTGATAGAATGCAAATTTCATTTCAGACTAGTTAGGCGTTCTTGAAAAAGTGGAATGTAGAGTCTTTTCCGTAGAAACAACCAGGGCTTCAATTACTAGTGATTTTTTGTGCATGGGATTGTACTTAGGACAGTGGAATAGTTCTGTTGGGTCTCTCAAATGGGATGCTAGTTTTTTTTTTTTTTTTTTTTTTTAAGATTTATTTTATTTTTATTGGAAAGTCAGATATACAGAGAAGAACTTCCATCCATTGATTCACTCCCCAGGCGGCCGCAACTGCTGGAGCTGCTCCATCTGAAGCCAGGAGCCTGGATCCTGGATCCTGGATCCTCTTCCATGTCTCCCACATGGGTGTAGGGAGGCTGTCCTCCACTGCTTTCCCAGGCCACAAGCAGGGAACTGGATGAGAAGTGGGGCCACCAGGATTAGAAACAGTTCCCATATGCGATCCCAGTGCATGTAGGGTGCCGGCTTTAGCTACTAGACTACCACACTGGGCCCTGAGGATGCTAGTTTCTTCCATGAATATCATTCTGTGTTATTTTTCTTTAGTCTTCAAATGACCTAGTTTCTTGTGTTATTGGGCTACGATCTTCATAATATTTATAGTTAGAAACTCACAGTAAATTCCAGTCTCACAATGAATGTGTTCAAACTTTCCCCTCACTTTCATTTTGTTTCTGATTGCTAATGCCTTTTAGCTTAGTATAGGTTTTAGTAGGTGAATCCAGGTGAAACCAAGGGGAAGCATCAGGATGCTTCATTTTGTTTTGTGTTGTTACCCCTTTGTAAGTTTCAGATTGGACTTCATTTAGAGAAGTGAAATTGTGGTGTAGAAATTGGTTTTAAAAATAAACTCTTGCCAGATTGCCTAAAAATCTATATGTTTATTTAAAATTATGGTAGGAAGAATATGCTAACAAAATTTTTTCCCTAACATTTTCAAACTGTTTTATGTTGTAAGGATTCTTATCAACTAGGAAAGATGGATTGTGATCGTCTTTGTTATTAGGCTGTTTACACTAATCTATGTGGAAGGTGACCTCAGGCTGACAATAATACTGTATCTTCCAGGGGAGAAGTGATTCTTTTGACATTCTGACCTTTTTTAAAATTTCCTCAAAAAAAAGGTGAATTCTCAGTTTCAAAAGATCAGAAGGAACTTGTTAGGGGTACTTGTTTTAAGACCTATATACTTTTATCTGAGAATTTATTATGAATTTTAGAAGTAGTTTATTGCCATAGAGCTTTTGTATATGTGCATTTTTAAAATATTTATTTTTATTGGAAAGGCATATGTACAGAGGAGGAGAGACAGAGAGGAAGATCTTCCAGCTGCTGATTGACTCCCCAAGTGAGTGCAGCGGCTGGTGCTGCGCTGATCCAAAGCCAGGAGCTAGGAGCTCGGAGCTGCTCTGTGTCTCCCACACGGGTGCAGGTCCCAAGGCTTTGGGCCTTCCTCAACTGCTTTCCCAGGATACAAGCAGGGAGCTGGATGGGAAGTGGAGCTGCCGGGATTAGAACCGGCGCCCATATGGGATCCTGGCATGTTTAAGGCAAGGACTTTAGCCGCTAGGCCACGCTGCCGGGCCCGTATATGTGCATTTTTTTTTACAACATTTTTAAGTTGTGATTTTATTTGAAAGACACAAAAAATCTTCTATCTGCTGTTATACCTTCCAAATGTCCCCAACTGAGCTGGGCCAGACCATAACCAGGATCCTTGAAATTAGCCCAGGTACCCTCATGTGTGTTAAGGACCCAAGCAGCCATCATCTGCTGCTTCCCAAGGCATTCATTAGCAGGTAGCTGCCATCACAAGTGGAGACCAGACTCTGGAGAGTACCAGGCCTTACAGAGAAGAGAACAGCTATCCCAAGCAGTGTGTTAATTGCTGTGGTAAATATCCCCACCCTAACCCACCCCGCCCTGCCCTGTTCTGCTCCACAGTTAAGTATATGTGTGTCTGTAATTTCTTTTCCCCAATCAAGATTAAAAGCATGAGGTTACTTCAGAGCTGATGAAAAACATGTAAATATGCTGGGTGGCAGACATTGGCCCAGTAGTTGAGTTGTGGGTTACAAAACCACAAGTGTTGAACCCTGGCTAATGCGAACATTTGAGGAGTGAAATAGTGGATGGGAACTTACCTTCCAGTTCTATTTTTCTCTCTCCTTCTAAAATTTAAAAAATTATTTCTGAGTCTGTGTATGGATTTTTTTTTAAAGATTTATATATTTTTATTATACAATCACATACCTGGAAAGTTCCATCCAATGATTCATTCACTCCCCAAGCGGCCACAACAGCTGGAACTGTGCCAGTCTGAAGCCAGGAGCCCGGATCTTCTTACAGCTCTCCCACACAGGTACAGGGTCCCAAGGCTTTGGGGCATCCGCAACTGCTTTCCCAGGCTGCAAGCCAGGGAGCTTAATGGGAAATAGAGGTGCCAGCATTAGAACTATAGTACATATGGGATCCTGGTGCATGCAAGGCAAGGACTTTTACCACTAGGCTACCATGCTGGGCCCTTTGTGTGGATTTTTAAAAAGATTTTTGGCATCAGAATAAGCATGTCTTTTAAAATTCCATTTTCTGTGAACTTTTAAAAATGTAAATGCCTTGAAAAACAGACAGAGATAAGTGAAATCTTCCTCTGCTGGTACATTCTCCAAAAGTTTGCAGTAGCTTAGACTGTGGCAGGCCAAAGGGAGAAGTCTAAGACTCAGGTGCGTTAGCAGGAAACTGGATCAGGGGTTGAGGAGTTAGCTGTGGAAGCCAGACTAAGATATGTGATGTGGGGGACGAGAGGTACCTTAATTGCTGTGCTTAAATGGCTACCCCTGTGAGCTTTTTGAAATGCATTCATATAAAAATATTTTTGTAAGATTCTAAATCTTTTGTGCTTTTCGTTAATATTTGCTCCAGAAATCTAAGATGGTTCAATTTAGTTTACTATGCTTTACGAAATATGGACTTTTTACAGAGAAGAGAGGCAATGTTCCATTTGCTGGTTTACTCCTAAATGGCCACAATGGCCCAGGCTAGACCAGGCCCAACAGGATTCTGGAGCTTCTCGTTGTCCCATGTAAATACAATGGCCTAGGTACCTTGGCTTTCCTGCACTGCTTTCCTAGGTTTAGGGAGCTAGATCAGAAGTAAAGCAAGCAGCACTTGAACCCAACTTACACATAAGGCCGTTGTTTTACTTGCAGCACCACTATACCTGCTTCAATACAAGCTTATTCTACAAAAAGCAAAGAACTTTAGAGCTTATATGATTAAAACAGTTTACTTCCAGAATGCTTTTCTCTAATCCAGTAGTACATGTCACTATATTGTAAATCTCATGGGTTTTGACTTATCTTAATCTTAGGATTGTCTTGTGTAAATCAAAAGGATTTTCTGTACATCTGAATAAACTTTTGGTCTTTTTTTTTTTCTTCTGTGAGTTTCATAAGGAAGTTGCTTTTGAATATTGATGCTACTTTTTGTTTTATTTGGAAGGCAGAGTGACAGCAAGCGATAAAAATATTCATTCACTTGGTCACTATCAAATGGCCTCAACAGCAAAATTTGAGTCTGGTTGAAGCCAGGAACCTAGAACTCCTTCTGTTTTCCACTTGGGTAGCAGGACCTGAATTTCCTGAACCATTATCTGGTGTGCACTAGAAGGGAGTTGGATGAAAAGTTGTGAGGCTAGTACTGTTACATGGATGGGGGATGCTCACAGCCGTGCCACAACACCTGCTCCAGAAACTTTTTAGTTCAGTTCAAGCAGCTTGAGAAAAGAGACCTGCTGGTTCAGTCCCCAAATCCTACAATAACCAGCCCTAGGACAGGTGAAAGCCAAGAACTCAGAATTCCATCTGCCTTGGGCCCATGGAATTGAACCCATCATCTGCCACTTCCTATGATGCATTAGCAGAAAGCTGGATCCCAAGTAGAGTATTAAAACAACTTAACCTCCACGTCCACAATGACTTACCAGACTATGAAGCCTACCACAAGTCTGTTTGAAATGAGCATTTACTATGTAATTTTTTGGTCTAGATTTATGACTACACATAAGTTTAAGGGCTCAGAAATGATGCTCGGAATGTAACTGAATGAGAGCTTTTGTCTATTACTTTTTTTCCCTTCATAGTATTTGTTCTGTAGCAGTATGTTCCATTTAGTTACTAGTTACATTTTTTTATTCATCATGATACTATATAGATATGCAGTAAGGTAATAGCTAATAAA